ACCGGGCCAGCAATAGCTGTTGTAGCCCTCTCTCTGTCAGTCAACCTCCGCTCACTAATTTCCTGTGGGTTCAACACGATTGTTGGCTTGTCCGACTACACTTAAAGCATTTGCTTACCGCCTTCATCCATGACCTACCCAAAGCCTGTCTTGTGCCCGACTTCGTCTAATGGACGTAGCATTTTTCATTACCTCTCTCTCGGTGGTGCCTTAGCCTCAACATTGTAGTCCTCAGTCCTTTTTACTTTGTTCACCCATTCATTCTTGCCCTCCTACTGTCTGGTCGATATTTGTTAGATGACCTTTCCCTGATTAGAATCTGCACTTTAGCGTAGCCTATTATCCGCTCTTCAGCAGCTAAACAGCAGCCACTGGCTCTTTTTTCCTTATATCGCTGATAAGTCCTGTTGTGTAGGCTTGTTTGTATTTCGTACCGGGAACAAAAAGAGTCCTGCCTCTTGCGCATTCGCTGACCACCACCACTTTCCGCATGCCTTTAGATTCCGTCCGTTCTATGAGTTGTGGCCCGAGCGATTCCAGAACAAGACCAATGGCATCACCCCGCGCCGTTGGCTGCTACTGTGCAATCCCTCACTTTCGGATGAGATCATGGAGTTTCTGGGCAATGACAAGTGGATCACTCATTTGGACGAGCTGAAACGCCTAAGAGATTTTGCCGATGATAAGGCAGTTCTGCACCGCCTATTGCGTGTGAAGCGTGAAAACAAGCAGAAATTCGCACAGTACATGAAACAACGGTACGGCGTCGACCTGGACGTCTCAACCATGTTTGATATTCAGGTGAGTCGGGAAATTTGACGCCCCCCTCTTCTATTTCGTTCCGTAAAATTTGCTGTCATCTGCCTCCACCATAATCTAATGCCGGCCCCCGCCCCCTTTCATTTAGGTGAAACGAATTCACGAGTACAAACGCCAACTCTTGAATTGTCTCTACATGATCACCCAGTACAATCGTATCAAGGCCAATCCCCAGGCCAAAGTCACTCCTCGAACCGTCATGATTGGTGGAAAGGCAGCGCCCGGTTACCATATGGCGAAACTCATCATCAAGCTCATCAACTCAGTGGGTGAAGTGGTTAACAATGATCCCATTGTGCGTGGACGGTTGAAGGTAAGTATTTGAATCAACTCTTTCAACATTTTTGGCCATCAACACTACGTGTACCCGGTACGGTTACGATCATGCCTAATCTAGCCGGCTCCGATGGTGCCACAGACTGTACCTCTCAACACGCGACGATCCGCGGCAGCAAATCTGTTATCTTCATCAACGACGGAGGACCAACACCTCAGGTCCAAGAACCAATTCTATGTGAGGTTGAGGGCAGTAACAAAGAATGTGCTTAAAGCCCCCTCAGTCGTCTTTCTTGGATGGCC